CCGCTACCTTCACATCGAAGGAGTCTTCTTCCATTATGACCTTTGATCGACGAAGATATGTTTTCCAAGCTACCTGTTGTTTTGTTTTTTGCACTAATGCCACATACTCTTCCAGCAGGGAATTAATTTCCAGGTCGTTGTATTTCTACGTTCATTATAGCCGAGGTTCACGTCACTACGTATAACCGAATCTTATGTATATTTGTAATATAAGTGAAATGGGACCACTGACTTGAGTTCACTATATCCGAGTTCACTATAACTGGAGTCGACTGTAGATATTGTGGAATTTCCAGCTATTACAACGTGTAAAGGAGACCGGAATGCCATGTAGTTGTGAAGGTCTTTTCTACGTCTAAGAACATTGCTAATGTGTGTTATCGTTGATGGAGATTGGAACAGATTCGGTTATACGAAGTAATAGGTGATTCGTTGCATATTTGTACTGGAAGCTAAACTGGAAGTCCGCTATTTTCACTTTTAACCATAAATTTTCAATAACTGCAAAAGTTTGAATTTTTCCTCGACTTCCTCAAACTACAAAATTGAAGACAGCGTTTTTTCTTTAAATGAAAATTGTTGTCCATAATTAGTTCTTTCATTAAAGTCATGGGCATTGTTTTAAAAATGATGAGTTTCACGCAAAAATTGCGGCAATGTGAGCAGTTTTAAAAAATAACCTTAAATAAAAAATTTTCCCAAAAAGTTCCAAATGTTTTAAAAGTTTTAGTAGAATAGTGCTAAAGGTACCATACTAGATCATATGAACGCTATTCGTTGCTTACGCTATCTTTGTTTTTAAAATTACGAAAAAAATTGACTTGTTCTTCTCGAACGCGTTCTACCCCTTAGAGTTTGCCGTTTTTCGATTCCATAATCTCGTCCTCCCATTGACCCCCTCCAATCTTTCTCCTCCATTACTTCATGTATATGAGATCCAGGTTAAACCAGTTTACCTCTTCTACGTCTCTTTCAGGTATTTCCAAATTTATAATTGTTTGGCCATTCTTCTCATTCGCATCCTCTGGACAAGATCCATACCATTGCAAGAGCTTAGTTTCTAAACTCTTCTGTTATGGTTGTTGAACCCCCCAGCTCTTTCCCACACCGCTTCGTTTTTCTTACTTGTTTATCCAGTCGTTGTTACTGCAAAGAGTCTCATAAAGTCGACCTCACCGACCGTTATTCTGTCTCTACGGCGTTTTGTAAACGCCACAGTGTTACGCTCCATATAATATAATACATTTCCACGAGACGTCGATGTTCATTTTGTTGTCTGCTTAAAAACCACTATTCCATGTAAGGCCAGCAGAGCGTAATTGCATTCCTCCCCATTCAAGTCTGAGTAGTTATATCTTCATCAATTTCCCACCTCAGTAATTACAGTTCCACAGATATTTAACCATTTTCGAAACGTTAGCCTATCTCGTCATTAGCGACATTAATATAGATGCATCTCCTCCTATGCATAAATATTCTGTCTTTTAAAGGTTGATTTTAAGTCCCCATTTTTTCGTATTCTTCTTGTGTAATTGCGAGAGCCATATACCCATATCTTCCCGAATGATGCCATAAATTTAACCTGATCATGCTGGCAAAAGCAAATATGTAAGCCACTTGGCATTTAAGGGACAACTCCTTATTTTGAAGGAACATTTTCTTGTAAAACCCAGGTTCCAAAAGCTGTTCCCCATACTTATTAAAAGAGAACGTGGTAACTACATCCTGTTAATAGCAAAAAAAACACAATCCTTCTTTACCCTTGTTATAAGGTTTCTAATGCTTTTGGGTGAATAAATCTCCCCGTTTTAATGCATGCTTCAGTATTTTGTATTATTTTGAATAACTAAAGATTAATCTTTTTTGGCAGCTTTCCAGTCTTTTCATTGGCTGGCCAAATTTACATCTTGAACACTGTCATAGCCCCAGTTTCCCAGTTAATGTAACAACCGGTCTTATAATGTATCTATAAGTTGTGCATTCCATTTTTTTTATTTTCTGGGTCCGTAAGCAATGATTGTTAAGCCAAATACATGACACCTTCCCACTCCTAAAACCACCCCTTTGTTCTTCCGCTGAAAGTTATTCCTTTTTGTATTTTTCCTTTAAAGAATACTAAGCGAATCACCTACAGACTACTGATGGAGGATGACCACCTTAATTCCTCTGTTAATTTTTCAAAACAAAAAAATATTTTAGTCAACCTTTCTTGTGTACTGAAACTGATGTATGGACATAATTCCATTCCTGGGATATCCCACACCGCTAAACTGCAATTCTGTTAAAAAAGATTTTGAGGCTATCAATTAAACGATAGAGCCTCCGTTTAATTAAAATTCCATTCTAAGGTTTCCTTGGTCCAGCTTTATTGTTTTTGGGGCTCTCCAAAAAAGGGGCCCTCTTTACATTCAGAGCCGGGACTAAATTTCAGCTTCCCCAATCTTGCCGAAAATTTCTGCATTCCAAATCTTGTTGTATTCCACTTTATTTCGCAAATTAATGTTTCGTAGTTAAGTTCAATCCATTTTGTAGAGTTTATTTTTTTCTATTGCTCTGTTACAGTTTTTTCCTATTTTTTAATTGTTTTCCCATGCTGTCAGTTAGAATCTGTAATAATACCAATCACATTTCACTATATCCCCTAACAATAATCTCTCCAAGTGTTAATTTTTTTCGGATTGTTACTAATTATTCTAAACTCTTTTCTAAACAATCTCCTTTCGGTGTGTCGGTCAATCCGTATTGAAACTCATGGCCAACATTTATAATTTTTTCTCCTTTAACTCATGCTTTGTCAAAAATTTTCCCTAAAATTCTCTCATACAAAGTTTGCTCTTTTCTTGGCTTCTCCACTCCTAAAACTTCTCCCTTAGCTGGCTGTCAAAAACAGGGGCTTCTTTTTAAATTGTATGTACAAATTTTCTTCGGGACTTGTTAATCTTCTGAGTTTTTTCTGTTTATTCCTTTGAATTTCTTGTTTGTGTAGAGCGGGCATCTCACACTGTTTTGTTTTAAAGGATTTCTGTTTTAATTACATCGTTTTCTCATTAAAAAGTCAGTATACTTTTCAGTAAAAATCTTCGTTATTTCTAAGGCAAAAACAGGTATCCTTCCACATCTATTATATGATCAGTTCCACATTCTGGTGACGTATACTGCTCACATCATTCAGTTTAACTCATTCTCTCATTCTCACCACAAAACTAAATAGAGATTACAGATTGTATATCTTCTACTGGATCTTTTCGTGTAATATTTGTGATGCTATTTTATGTTCTGAACAAACGTATTCCCACACATTTAATGCATTTTCCTACATAGTTTATTAATCTTTATTTCATCATTTAATATGTTCCTCTCCGTATTACGGCCTACTACGCCACGTTCTCTATTACCTACTCTGCCTATTAAAATCTCCAATTAATATTATTTCATTTTGATACGGAATACTCGCTATAGTTTCGCATATACCCCTAAAATTATTATCTCATGACGAAAAATGTTCATGTCTATTCTTAGT